TACTAAATAATTGCATTGCTAGAAATGAAAAAGAATACTAAAATATGATAGTATAAAAATGACGAAGAAGTAGGTTGTTATGGAAAAAAGATAACATTGAATAAGCTTCACAAGTTGTCACATTTTATTAGGTTTTGGGTTACTTTACTTTTGTTTTGCCTCAGTTTTTTACTTTTGTAATGTCCCTATCTAATCAATTGCGTATCAATTTATCTTCCTGTCATCATATTTATCAATTGTTTCTGTTGATACATTACTCAACAGCTGAAAGATTAGATACCACATTATTATTTCAAACAAAAGAGCAAAGAAAGATCCCATAAATATTGTGCCTCAACACCGATACACATGAAAGGAGGAAGTCGGGTCTACATAGACTGGAATAAATTATCGATATGTTCAGAAGATAATTTAAACATACTAAAACTAAAATCTAATTGTATCACGTATGGTTACGTAGTAATCGGTATTTACAGTTATTTTGATTTGAAACAACAAACATTCACAAAGAAAAGACTGGTTATTTTCAATTTTCCATTGGTCAAATCGTCAGTAGTGGAAACGGAAAAGAGCCAATGCCAAAGTTCATGACGTTCGTGGCAAAACTTTTCAGATGTGCAGAATTTCAAGCTGTTGCCCTTGAATTTTTAAGGCTATTGTAGAGCTAGATGTGCCCTATCCTCATACAAATTTCCATTCAAATCGGTGAGGAGGCAAATTTTCAATGGGATCCGCTCTCATCCTTTGAAATGAAACGAAATGAAAAACACAGATCAATAATTGATTGAGATTTGACTATTTACAATTTACATTTTGTTTTCCAACCAATTTTCATTAGCATATTAAATGAAAATACAAACCATTTCATAATAAACAAGATTCAATAATTTACAGGTTAACCCTTTCCCATCTTAATTAGCTCATTGATTGAAACTTCTTTGATAAATGACTGCTTCTTGAGCTTTCAGGTAAAATTACAAGTTTCAACAAATGTCAACAAAATAATTAACTTTCATCATTAAATTAGACTCCAATTAGAGCCCAACCTTGCTTTTAAAATACCTACTCTGAATGTAAATAAAAGGTTAACTTGGTTAATTTGATTAACTTGGTTGTTCAATTTTGCAATAAAAGCACGGATACTCTGATCAAGTCAAAAAATGATCTACAGGTACTCATACTACTAGTACTAATATTTTGATGTATCTGAAATCATATTTTGATCGAATTTATAACAAATCCAAGCAAAAGTCATCGATAAAAAACGACAGAACTTTTTGACATCCCTGATGGCTACAAATGACGTCGTTACAAATTATAATAATATTACTAAATCACAAAAAAATGATGAAAAACGGAAAATATTGAAAATTCAATCGAAAAAGGTCTTTATCCTTCCATTTATTCCATTTACCAGTCCAATCAATAGATTAAATTCAATCAGAACTCAAAATCATTATTGATCAATTTTTAATTATTCAAGAATGAAAACTATATTACAATAATACAATATGTTTTATTGGAAGATGAAGAGTTAATCGTTTCATTTTTTCATTTCACTTTAAGACATTATTTTTTATTTTCATCAAGAAAAAATTCACAAATAGAAACAATTCAATCAATGAAAATTGCAATCCATCATTTAATTGAGTTTTGGTCTTTTATCAATCACTCGTTACTCTTCTTTCTTGTTAGTGTTCGATAACTGAGGTATTTAACAATGAAATTGAATATTCCCTTCAATCACTCCTTGAGATTAATTTACCATGACCTTTATAGCGGAAGAGATCAAGACCAATCTCTATTTGATACCATAAAAGCATTAGGATCAATTACACTTGGAAAAGTACCGATTGAATGGATTAGTGGTGACCCCGATCAGAATGACTCTTGTCATTCTTCCATTTGTTCAACACCTTTTCTTCGGTCAATTCAATCTGGCCTCGTTGATGCTTCATTCCCTTTTGAAGCGATGGAACATTTTTCATTGGTTCCAGAAAACATGAGTTTCAGTTCAATGGTGTACACTGATGATTGTGGTTTTATTAACCTTTATACTGACACTGCAGTTAAATCAAAATATCCCGGAATCTTGACCAGTTTCCAAGTAATCCAGCTCAATGTTTACATTTTAATTGGTTTCTTGATCGCCCTAGGAGTTTACATTTATTTAGTTCGTGAGAAAAGTTTACCTTGGCCTTTCAAAGGCATAACAAAACAGCTTATTGATGGACAATTTGGGCTTATAGTTTTGATCATTTGTTATTTCAGTGTCTTTTACGTCTACGAACTATTATGCTCTTCATTTACGACCAACTATTCAATTCAATCTCGAGATGCCCCTTTGGTTTATTTGGATGATCTCAATAAATCAACTCAATCTGTAACTGCCGTTCATAATTTGTACTGTGCTCGTAAGATGACAGACTATTCGTCAAGTCGTATTAATACAGTTGAGGTTGACAGAGTGTTTAGCTATGTTCATAAACATATATTCGATGATAGAATCGTCTTTTTTGAAACAGTAAATGCAATTAAGAATCAGAAAAGAATATTTTGCAACTTTATGGTCAACATCAAGAAAACTGACAACTTTTATATCCATGTTAGTAACCAGCGTTATTTCAATACTATACGGTTACTGGTTTATCACAAGTTCATCGAGAAAAGCAAGAAAAGGTTTCTACAACGGGCAACCTATTCATGCGTTGAGATGGGCTTTTGTCTTGACGCATTTGATCGCGCATTCGGAGCGGTTATTGAGAAAAGAGTAAAATTTTATAAAACTTGTGCTCAATGCAAACGCTACAAACAGATTGAAAGCTATCCAGTGGCTTATCATTCCATTGCATTCATCACGATTAAAGATTTACTTTATCTTTTTGTTCTTCTCGTGTGTCTTTCAAGTTTCGTATTAATCATCGAATTGATCCGCTCATCTAATCGTGATAAACCAGCCAAAAAAAAGAAACCATTTCTTCATTACTCTTCTAAAGGTAACATCGTTAGTTGGCATAACATCAGCGAAGTGAAGACGTTTTTGTTGAGGAAGCGGTTGGCAGACGGTTATCCAATATATTACTTGAAGTAACGATACTTTTCAATATTGCAATATTCAAATCATTCGGATAGACAAAGTTTTGTCTTCGATCTTCGATCAATTCTAACTTTAGCAGAACTGCTCGTTCGATATTTAACTTGTTTTACTTAAAAATATAATTGTTAATTTAAAATTTTGCTTCCAAACAAACAAACGGAGCACAAATCTAACAGCACGTTGACCAGACTTCAAGGCTATAACATCGATCGATAGAGGAACAACATCTTATGGGACAGAACTTTAGGACAGACCAACTACACTATTAATACATGTATATGTAAAAGAATAAAACTACAACATTCATTCAACTTGAATTCTAAGTCATTGGATAATCTTGGTTACGAAGCTATTGCAGCTTATTTCTGAATGATACTCATTGAAATTTTGGTCGTGAATGCATATTATGTAATACATAACCTGTGTCGTTATACCTAACGCCTTCAAACTTTGCAAAAGCATAACAAAAAGTCTCATTATCCACATAAAAGGTTATGCATAATATGAAATATTTTATCAACTTACCGCGTAAAATAAGTTTCACTGTGCGGCCAAGTCAAGGCTCAATGAAGTACATTTTATGAGGTGAAAACATTCATTTTAGTCCAAGTGTGAAGGTGATTCAAACATTATGGAGAAAGAAATGTTGATGATTATTAAAACCCCCCTTTGATTTTCGGTTAAATCCCCCCCCCGTTCTCTGTTGAACTTTCGATGATTTAAATTTAATATCTCACGAATGATTTAATTCAAATTGGTGAGAGTTGAAGTGACTATTCAATGGCCAAAAACGCAATCAGATTCTGGAGTCCACACTTTTAATATCAAAACTTAAACAGATTAAAACTCTCGAGTCAAATGCATGTAGTTTCGCAGGTTGAAGTGCTACCAGGCTCTAACCGATTCTCACTTGTTTCATCAATTTTTGAATCTTTTAATGAACTTTGAGATAAAATAACTAGATTGTAGTGCTAGAAGGTAACACTTAATAAAGTTACAAAAGAATCATTAAGATGAAATGGAATTGCTCGGTGAACATTATCAAACAAATACAACCTAAAGATATCTCACTGAATAGAGCAGAATTAAACTGAACAAAGAATCTAGGATTTGAACATGTGCCTTGCGAAGTCTTGATTCCGGTTCCTTAAGTTTTGCTCTCCTTTCAACTAAACTTTGTTTGCTTTAAAGCTTAAGGTAAGAATTGCCGATTCATTCAATTCATATTTCCATTGTAATGTAATCTTTGTTGTACAACTAAAGCTAATAGCTTTACAAAGTTTTAAAGTTTTATTTTATTGTAATGGTATGAAAAATCAATTCTTATTTGTTCACAAGATTAAATTTCGTTATATCGTATTCCCATCAATCCTATTTTAGTTCAAAAATGTTATTAAGAATGTTATTAAATAATCTTATAGAGCCAAGAAATATAGCGAGTCAATCGAAAGGTTTGATTTACTTTCATTTTTGGCCAATTCTTATGCTGATCAGGTTGCCATTCAAATTAAGCTTATTTCCATTGAATTCAAGCATTGTTTTACCTCAGTTGCTGAAATTATTTACCTTTCTTGAATCATTTAGTCTAACATCTTAATCAATTACACGTTTATATAATAAATTAAGTTAGTGAAGTTTGTAGTGTAAGAATGAACAATGAA